TTTTTTTTTTTTTTTTTTTTTTGTCTTATCCATAGAATATGAGCTCTGTGAGGTGCTGGACATGGTTTGTTTGTTTTTTAACTTACGGTGCCTTGCACAGACTTTGTGGTTGAAATAGAATGTTTGTAATAATTTATTCATGGCAAATTGAGGTTGAAATTTTTAATGAATTTTCTTGAGCAAGTATATAGTGTTTTCTGGCTAGCTGTCTTGTTGATTTAGTGGACAAGTCAAATGCTTTCACGTGAACTCGTCATTTTCAGCTCCTATTCCTGGTAAAAGCAAAAGACGGATCTCATGTAAAGATCTTGGTCGAGGGGACTGTGAAGGCTGGCTTTGGAAAAAGAAAGATGCCAAGAGTTATTTCTCCCAGAAATGGAAAAAATACTGGTTCGTCCTGAAGGATACATCTCTATATTGGTATATCAATGAAGAGGTAAGCATCTGTGCTCATTGTCTCAACAAATACCCTGTGTAGTGCTGTTGTCGTGATATAGTGGGAAGCCAGTGCTTATATATGCGAATAACTTTATTCACCAAAACAATCGTACTGAAATTAATATTAACTGCCTGTCTAAATTGCCATTAAGGTCCAGAAATATTTGGTCCTTCAAATTCACCTTTTACTACAGGGAGAAGTAATACACTTTCCTGTGCCCTGCTCTCACCAGTTTAGAATAAATCTATCCTCAAACCCTTGAAAGGGAAAAGGTAGTTATTTAATCCTGTCATTCAAGCTTAGTCATGGGAGTGTAAACTTTAATGATGTGCTGCCTGGCGTTCCTTGTTTATCTGTGCTAGTGAAATAGCCAAAACCTCTGGCAATTAAAGAAGATGCTTTTGTTTTCTCAGTCATGTTCTCCTGTTGTTCCTTCTTTGTAGCTTTTGATGATTTCAGTGCTCATGTATGCTGAACTTAAGAGCACTGGAGCAGCCCAACTGAATTGTGTACAGCTTTGATTGTGCAACATGTTCTGCATGAGTACTTTAGTATTTATATCAGCTTTAGCACAAAAGCTTTTTGCCAGTGAGATAGGAAACCTTAATTTTAAACCCAATTAGTGTCATTAGTAAATATCCTGAGATAAAATCATTGCCAACATGTGCATGCACTCAGTCCTGGACTTGTTCTTTTAATCACTGCAAGCATTTGTACATAACCTTTTTAAAATGTGATTCCCAACTTTTCCCTGAGCAGACAAAAAGCAAGTTGTTCCATGAACAGAGTTACCGAAGCCTGTTTTCCCACAGACTCATCCCGTTTGTGCCTTGATCCCAGCTTCAGATTAGTAATGCAGTAGGCTGCATTTCTCCTTACTAATTAGTCCATCTTACCCCCAAATTAACTAATTACAATAACTAATTGCCTGAATACGTTTTGTCATTTTGTATATTTTCAAATGCTGGTTCAGCTGTGAAATTGTTTGAGAAAACTCGGTATTTAAAATTGTATTTTACACCAAGGGATCCATCTTACTACTTTGGCAAAAGTCCCAGTGACTTCTGTGGGAGGTTTGCCAGAGCACAGCATACATTAGTGTTCTTTATGTAAGAAGCAGGCAAGTGAAAATATCTTTAAGTTTTCAGTGTGGTGGGGTTTTTTTCTGACACCTTAACAACAGTAATATCTAGAACTATCTTTGCAGGATGAAAAGGCAGAAGGATTCATCAGTCTACCTGAATTTAAAATTGACAGAGCCAGTGAATGCCGCAAGAAATAGTAAGTATGCTCAAAAATAACGCAATGATACAGTAGAAAAAGTGGAACAAAGAACAATGTTTTCCGTTAAAACAGTGACATAACGGACTTCATTACAATGATAATTTGGTTGTATCACAGAATAAGCTCATACAGAACAGGCAAATTCAGTGTGGTTTCTGTGTGCCATCTTTCCTGAAGAAGGTTTTTTTACTTTATCATTAATCACAGTGCTTGACTAGAGCAAAATGAATTAAGAGCAAGAAGGCTGCTTGGCTGCTTCTGTCCCTTTATTTTCATAGTTTTCCTTTCTTCTTTTGTTTCCTTTCTGTTTTCAGGGTGGTTTTTTGTTTGTTTGGGTGTTGGAGTGTGTGTGTGTGTGTGATACCTTTAAGTTTAATAAAGAGCTTTAAGTGTAATAAAGAGACCATCCAAATAAAAAAGTCCCCAAGTTCATGGCCAGGCATCAATTGTTAATGTAACTCCAAATTAGCATCATCTCAGTTTGCTGACACAGTGTATCAGTCCTGAGGCAGAATAAAAAAAGAGAATGACAGTGATTTGCTGTATTTTTGAGGTATGACCTAAAGGTCTCAAATAACTTTTCTTCTCACCTAGCTGTGTGTGCTGCTGTTCAGATTTGTGCCATTGCACAAATTCATTTCTTATTTAGATGCAAATTCAAGCATATGTAGGAATGTGACAGGTGCATACTCCCACAGAGGTATTTTTAGAGTAATTATTGTTGAAAACTTTTTGCCTTGCCTTCTAATGGTTTTTACTGTTCTTTTAAGTTTATCAAGACTGTGGAAGCCCTGAAATTTGTACAGAAAAGCAATTGCAAAAGTAAAATGGTACAATTTATAGTATATACAGTTCTAAAGAAGACACTGACCTTGTATCAGTTGGTCTATATATCTCTTCAGGATATATCTCTACTCCTCGTGATGGTCTCAAAGGGCAGAAAATGAAAACTGCGTTTTTAAAAAAAACATACATCAGCTTGGGCTTATTGTCCTGTGTCCTTAGGCTACATTGCTGATGTGCTTCATTTTTTCTTTTTTGTTGGGGCAGCAGCATAAAGTCAACTCATTTCTTCAGAATTGCACCCTGCCTAAATTGGTTTTTTTTTACATGATTTGATATCTACTGGATAGTAGAACATAAAACATATTACAATTCCTTGCTTAGGTGACAGATAAAGAAAAAATGACAGGTGCTGTAACAATTTTAAGAAGTCAAAGTTTTGGTCTCAGTAACTTGATGATGTCTTTCTAAACTGAGCAGATGTCACTGTACATCTGCTTTCATTTGCATAACATTGTATCATGCTCTAATGTGTTAGAGGAATTCTTTTTGTCTCAGTTTTACATTACCTTTGCTAGCAGTAACTTTTCTGGATATCAATTTCCTATTCCCAATTTCTTAAAAACTGTTTTCATATATTTACCTATATGTACACACACATATTGAAAATTGCAAGCATGACACACGTGAAGAACATCATTACCATTTTTCTGAGACACAATGGATTAGAGAGAGTGAGAATTATTTTATTATATTATATATATCTTTTTATATCTATAAAATCCATTGTGTCTCAGAAAAATGGTGATGATGTTCTTCATGCATCATGTTTGCAGTTTTCATTGTTTTCTTTGGGACAGTTATGCATTCTTTATTCTTATTTTAAATGAGAGACCTTCAGACTATTCTCAGAAATTATTCTTCTCTACTGTAAATTATTAATTACTTTCAGATACATTTTCTGTATCTTCAAGTACTTCACCATAAATCTTTATCCAACATAGTTAAAAAATTCTTTCTAGTAATTTATTTCATATTATGTATGAAATGCAGTAATTCTCTCAGCACAGTCATGTTGATTACTTTGGTGGAAAGAAAAGATGAAATGTAATTGCCCATTTCTTAGAATGACCTCAAGAACACAGTGTTGATTTATAACAGCTTTTCAGAAGTCAATCAGCGCATCACATTTTTCTGTTTGAAACGCAGTCATTAGAGCTAAAGGTAATGTCAAGGTCATTGGGATGTGAGAAATCACCAGGACTGAGAGTTTTTCTGTTGTATTGAATAAATTGTGCAGTCAATTTTCTGTTCAGAAAAATTTGACATCTGTAGGTGTATCAGCAAAATTACCTGATACATAAAATTATATCCTTAACTGGTTAACTTTATCCAAATATAGTACACTACAGGTGATTGTTGAACAATATTTATGTGCATATTAATCAGGCATTATTTAGAAAGGGGTAGTTGCAGAGCACTTTACTTGGTGAAATCTGGCACAATCCTAAAAGTTGTATGTTTATATACTGTTTGGGGGCATCTAACAACTCAGGAAATCTAAACTCATCTCATTCCTCGGTAACCACACTATCTTACATTTTTTTAAAAAAGAGTTGTGCCGTTACATTTTTATAATTATTTTTTTCCTCTACAGTGCATTCAAAGCCTGCCATCCTAAGATCAAAAGTTTTTATTTTGCTGCTGAACATCTAGATGATATGAACAGGTAAGGAAATCTAGCAAAGTTCAAGGAACCATTCCTTAAATGTGACACTTCTTGAAGCTAGTAATAACAGTGATAATAAAATACATGTTAATCTAAAAAGTTAAGTTTAATGACTGAGAAAATAAGTGCAATTGTTTTTGAGTGGCTGCATATGCTAAAAATTCAATCCATGCAAAAATTACTTTTTTTTTGAAACAAAGGTTTGAAGATTTTTAGAAACAAGATTCCCTCTTTCTAAAAAGAAATAAACACAGTATGTGAAACAACATCCAAATACAATTTCAGAACTCCAGGTTTCTGCTTTTCACTGTGTGGTATCTGCAAAGGTGCAGTATCTCCAACTCTGCTTCCTAACATACTCCCAAAGACATGTGGTGCTTGCTCTGGGAGTGCTTCTATTTCTCGCCCCAGAGAGAATGAGAAGTTGGAGAAAGAATTAAAGCAGTGACTGATTTTTCTTCTGCTAGTCTTGAAAAAGGAGGTAGAGATTACAAGGAATGAATTTTGCAGATTGTCTCTTACTGCCATGAATTTAACCTACATGTTGAAGTGAAATTTTGGTTTTATTGAATTTGGTGGGGAAAATTTCAGCAACTCAAAAAGAACAAGGCATTAGGTCTTAGTTCTTTGGGTACTGAGTTTTACTGTGTCTATTTTAGGCCACTTGTGCAATTTTTTCAGAAAAATGATTGAGACTTCAGCACAAAATAAATATAGCTCCTCTTAATTCATTCGAATGGTAAATTAAAAACATGCATCTCGTGTCTATTCAAATATTTGGGGGTTTATTTCATTTATTTTCACAACATAAACTGAAATTAATTCCGTTCAATATAATACACCATTTTTGTCATACGACAGAGAACACAAACAAAAATCTATTATTGCAACCTGAGAATTGTTCTGTCTTAGATAATATCTGTGGACATCCTTGCTGAGCAAAATTGCTTTTAAAACAGAGGAAAAAGGAGATAAAACTCAATCCATAAAACTGTTAGTAAGTGCTATAATCACGGTTTAATCTCTCCTGTGTGTACGAGATTCAGCTACCTGGTAGAGCACCTTCAGGGTACTGCCAGTTCTTTACTGATAATATTTGACTGGAAAAGTATGCAGATACTATACTATGCTTGCTTTCATTTAGAAATAGCTGTCTGTTAACATTTTTTCAAAAGTTCATGCATGACTAAGGCTCACTTCAAAAGTCTCTCCTCAGAAAACTTAAAACCTTTTTATTTGTTTGTAAAATTTTAGGCTTGCCTTTCCTTGATAATTCTGTCAAGCCAGTCACTCAAAATGCAATTTGCTGCACAGCAAACAGAATAATGGCATGGTCTATTCGGCATATCCTGAACTACAGCAGTAGATAAATCATTTCTGTCAGCAGGTCCTCAGTCAGTATGACAAGGCACCTTGTTTCTAAGGATAAAAATTTATATAACTGTTCAGTAATCAGAAAGCAGTAGCAAATACGCATCAATTCTTTAAAAATATATTGCACACTCTAAAACCCAAGAACTAAAAGGTTTTTAGCTTCCCAGTACAAATAGTCTTTTTTATCGTATTTTGAAATAAGTGCTTATTAATTCATTTAGAATGAGCTTGACCAAATTTTGATCTGAGTTATACACATGTAATTTAAAGCAGCTCTGTCAAGGTCTATAGAATTACTTGAAATTCTTACATCTGAGTTGCTGTCAGAGTCTCACCAAATAATTTTATTTCTTCTTTTTGTTTAATGTGTTAGAATAAGTAGTTCACTTTCACAAACATTGATTTAACTCAATATATTGGAAAAAAAGTAGGTTACTGAAAAATAATCTTTCAAATGCAAATATAATAAAATACTTCCTGTCTAAAAGCGTTTTGTAACCTAGCTGAAGTCAAACACAGAATCAAGTTATTGAGTTAAATTAAGATTGTTTTGATCAATTTCTGTTCTTTTTTTTTGTCAGGTTACTGACATACATTTTAATTATGTATTATGCAGTCATTTCAGTTCTGTTTATATTTGAAGCAGAAGAAACGGAAGTAGAAAACTGCTAATACATAGGCTAACTGAAAGGTCAAAATGGTTCAATTCCTTCATCCCTTGTATAAAATTATTTAGTTGTTTTTTAAAAAAAAAGTGTATGCAAGATATGAAGTTTTTGTTTGTGTGTATCTACTCGCATGAAATGGGTGTTTTAATCTCAGGTAATTGTCACTATTCAAATTTTCTTACTACTTTTATGACTGTGCCACACCATTATGCTGGTAAGGAGTCTGGAGAGCTATGATCACTGAACTTTATTGTTGTGGCATCTGAACTCTTTCATCTGCATGGTTGCACCATCAGAACTGTTCCTTCTACCCATATAACACACTTGGTCTGGGTGAGAAGGAGGACAGAATATCCTTTATTGATGCAAAGTACTGTTTTGCTAGTGTACATGTATAGTCATAGAAACATCTTGCTTGGAAATGCATTGTTATTCCCATTCCAAGAAAATAATCTGATGTAGAAGGCAGTCAGTATATTTCTACTTGATGATACTGTATGTAACTTTACTGTGATCTTCCATGGTAACTGTGCCTGCTGCTTTGTGGACTAACCATTTGTTCTTTACTCAAAAATCCTGATCATCAGCTCAGAGGCAAATGCATCCTTTTCAGGGTTGGCCGGCCTAAATACTTACAATACTCTTATTCTTCCTATTTTTTCCAAACTGCCCATTTTTTAAGTGATAACATATATGGTTGTCAAAATTATATCTTCTAGGCAGGGAAATAGAGTCAGTGACTTCATGTGGTATATTTGTCTGAGAACTTCCTCGACTTGCTGTAACTGAGCTGACCTCCTTCTCTTCTTGTGACATTGAGTATTGACATTTATAAGAGTTTTCTTCCTTAGTGTAGCTCTACGATCAAGAGGAAAGATGACAAGTCAGCTTGTAGTATTAGCGCATAAGAATGTCTCTGGAAGATTTCCATGAAGAAGGCCTCTAAAAATTCTCCCACATGGTCTACAGGCCTCTACATTCCGGTTAAACTGCAGTTGGGTACTTACAGAGACTGTAAGGTATCCATATTCCCATATAGCAAGTTTGTCCTATGTTATAGTGGCTACCAGGAACAGCACACTCCAGAGAAGAAAGATTTAAATCTTCCCATGTCCTAGGGCTTTGTATCTTTTAATACTCATTGTAAGGAGTATTTGTATAACTGTATGCTTGGAACTTTTGTCCCCAGTGCATTGTAAAGCGGGCATGTTTTACTCTTCTGCTCTGCAGGAGATCTTTGCGTTTCCCTGTGGTACAAGCCCAGTGCACTGGTATGATTCTAACTTCAATGAACCGTAACTCTAGCCATGCTGTATTAAAATAGTATTAATTCTCTAACCAAACCCATTCTAATCGTATCTGAAGAAGCTTTAGCAGCCACATATCAGAAAATATGCAGAAGGAGTCAATACCATTCTTTTAGTTTCTAAACTAGCAAGCTGCTCAAAATCCATGGTTGGTAATGGTTTACAACCACATCAGTACTTTCTCATTCACCCCACAGGTATTGCAGGTGATACTCCAAACCATGACACAGATCATGACCTGCAGAAAATCATTAAATGTAAAGTCAGTCTGCTGTCTCTCTCTCAGACTGGTATACATTTTCTGGGTTCTCATTAGATTATACTTTTCAGGAAATAACATTTTTCTGGAAACAATCATCTACCATAGCTGTAAGCAGTATCAATTGGCTGTCAGTTAAGTGTTTCTTAATTTAATTGGTTACCTCATTCTCACACACACTTAACACAAAATTCTCTCTCATATTTAGGACAGAATGAATTTTTCCAACAGGAGAACCTTTACAGGTGTATCATCTAATACTTTGCGGTCGGCAAAGGGGTTCGGTAGATGGCTGTTCCCTGCTGGCTGCACTGGGGGGTGGTAAGCCTTGAGCTGAATTGGGAACATGAAATCCAAAATAGGCAAGAGGCAAGCAAAGGGCCACCTCCACTGTCTGCCATGCCATTTGACAGAGCATGCGCTTGTCGTCTTGTGCTGCTTTACCCTTTGGACACAGAGAAGTCTGTGGCCTTTGCTGGTCCCTCGGCAGCACAGGGCTGGAGTACTTTGAGTGAGGTTCCTGCCTCAGTGCCTCTGGTTTGGGCTGGCGCAGCTGTAAAGACAGCTGAGCTTTATTCCCCAAAGAAAGCCTTCACATATCAGGAATGTGAACCTAAAAGATAGCTTTGTAGTGGGTCACCTTTCTGCTGTGAAGATGTGAAATCATTAAGACATGATTTGTTAGATTTCTGTTCCTATGTGCCAGTTATTTTGTAAGTGTATGGCACTTCCTAACAATTACAACTGAAATTTTAAGTCTCTTCTTCATCTTCCCTATTCTTCTGGCAGAAATTTTGATTGTATGCTATCATGCAGTATTCTGTGATCACTTCAGGAGTAAATATCTAGCTTTCTTCCCAATGTACAATGATTTATGGACTACTAACGTAATTTACAGATCATAATACATGTGGTCACCATTTATGGAAGGACACTGACAAGCGTTAATTTCGAAGAGAGCAACTGTATTTTATGATCTGATGCCTGCTTATTCTGCTCTGAAATGTCTTGAAGGCTGGCATGCGGGAGTGATTACAAAGGTGTATCCCTTGCTGAGACTACTACATCCCGTTTCCATGCATGCAGTATGCAAATGAAACCCATCAGGCACTGTTTTCTGAAACAGGGGCTTCATATTCCTGAAGAAAATGCAAACCTGACTTCAGTTGTCCTTCTGTATACCCTAACAGTAAAATTGCAAGCCAGTAGGTTGGCAAACCAGGCCTGTCAAATCCTGACTGGGGGATGACTAGAGCAAGTAATTCCAGCTTTACCATGGAATGGACAGCCATGGGAGATAGTCGTCGTGGTTGATGGAGGACCTGATTTACTGTAAGCATTTGGATAATGAATATACTGAGAGCCCCATGGAGGAAGAGGGCAGGTTGAAGCAGTGCAGCTGAGTGTGTGCTTGGCAATGACAGTCCTGCTGGAAGAGAGTAGCAATAGTTTGGGGGTTTTTTTTTTAATTTGTGCAGTCTATGGAAGAATTTTTTCAAGTCTAAGTTGAGGTTAAAGCCTTAGATGTGAATTGCATTGAGGCAACTGTCTTTTCTCCCCCTGCTTCTCCGACATGAACACAAAAGTGAATTCTGATATGCCTCCTTCTCTTTGTACTTGGCACTGTAGGTAAGCTCTAAAACACACAATGGCATAATTAACCCTCACTGTCTGTTTGGGAGTGAACCTGTTCTTTTTATTGCTGGTTTCTCCTCTGTTCCTCTGTTAAGTTGCCAATTCAGGCCTTAAAATATTGCTTAAATCTCGGAAAAGTGGTGTTTATTCTTAAGAAATCAGAACAGCAGGAGTATTGGTGTGCTGGCATATCTGAGAGCAGCAGACTTAATAGCTCTTTGATTATCTCTAAATCCTTTATTTTTTAGATGTTTGACATCATACATGGTTTTCCATTTGAAATAAAATCTTTGCTGTGAAAACAATTTGTTCAACAACAAAACCATAGATCTTTGGAGACTCCCTGAGTAAAAGTCTCAAAGAAAACAGCTGTCTAATATGAAAAAATAACATTGTCCTGAATCTCCTTCAGATGCTCCTAACTTTGCTTTTGTAGAAATGCACCCAAAAATTAAGAGGCTGGATCAGTATCACTGCTTTTTTAATATTATTTCAGATGGCTAAACAGAATTAACATGCTTGCTGCTGGCTATGCAGAAAGAGAGAGGATCAAACAAGAGCAAGGTAATGTGTTGTTATTTTGGTTTCTTCTGTCAGCTCTTATCACAAGTTCATCTGTTCTTTTTTCCTGCTGTGTATCAGGCCTCATTCTTGTCATCTGAAAGCAATTCACATATGGGTATCACTGTTGGTGCTTTAGAGAGTTCCTTCTCTCTCAGAGGTTTTGATTAGCTCCTTCAGATTCTGGTCCACAGACACCGGATTATTTCTGAGAAGGCTGCAGAAGGTAGCTAAAAGCAGCAGAAGTACTGCCAGTAAGCTCCAGTATGTGGTACCAAGGAGCCTGTGTTGCCTATCAGAAGAAACTTAAGAATCTGCAAACTAAAAAAATTTTTTAGACATTGCATTTGGTGTTTGAATTCACAGGGGGCAGGAATGCATGAAATTGGTCTCAGGAACAAAACCATTCTTCTAAAGCCTGTTGACATACTTGGATTTCCCTTAAAGACTTTAATTTTAAGGCCATTTAATTTTTTTGTGATTTCTACTGTTTTTGCTATATTGAGGTGTGTGCTAAAGCCCTATTGGCATTTCATTTGGAGTTGCAGGTTTACAGCATTTTGCATCTGTTTATTTTTAATGTCTAGTATTACATGGGTTTAAAAAAGCAGCATATACAAAATACTGAGTCACTTTGCTTTAGTTTGCTGCAGTAGAAATCCTGTTTGCAGACAGGAAAAAGAAAGGGTCAGTCCTCAGTTGTGTTGGGGAGCTTGTTTCCTAGAATTGCCAGTGACATGGATGCACAGAAGTGTTCCTGTCCAACTAGCTGTTTTGGCAAGCAGCTGGCTTTTGAATCCATGCTCTTTTTTCCAGATGTGCCTGGCAGCAGGCACCAGAAAATTGCAGTGGTCATGATGATCCAGAGCTTACCCAGATGCCTGTCTGCCTGCTGCCCACTGAGTCAAAACCTCACTCTTTAATTCTGTGGCTCTGCAGCCTTCACCAGCAAGGTTCTGTCTTTTGGCCCAAAAAGCTTATAGCTCGGAGCTGCAGCAGCAATGTATTTAATCTAGTCTTTTTTTTACAAAGACTATATTTCTAACGATTTTGCAGGGAGAGTTGTGTTCAAAAGGCTATCACTAGGCTTCAAAATTTGCCTCCATGTCCCCCAAAGTCATGGTTCTGTACCAACCTATGTGACAGCAGCCTTAGCCCTGACCTTCTGCTCTGATACCATAAGGAGGAAGATGTGCATGGTCTGTCTCTCCTCAATGTGTTGCCACGGTGCCGTTTTCCTGGGAGACACTGTGCAAAAAACTCCTTTCCCTGGTGAGAAGCGAGGGTGACTTCAGCAGCCAGGTAGAAGCATCAAGAGAGTAGGATATTCTGTAGTAGTAGAAGATTAAAAGACAGCATCAGAAAATTATGTCTGCTTTGATCCACACCCTGATTGCCTCACCACACAGCATCCTAGAGGGACCAGCCTGGGGCTGAAGAGCAGTGGCTTACAGCGTGCTGCCATAATTCGGTGGTAGCAGTGCGCGTGGGAAGATTTTTGGGCATTCTGTCATTCTCGCACATAACTAGGTTGCACCTGCTGTTGCTTCATTTCTAATCATGACTTCCAGTAAGTGCAGCTGCTTATCCTGGGAGTGTTGCCCACACCCTGTTTTAGTCTGGTGAGGTCCTTGGCACATAATGTCATTTGTAACACCAGGCTCTCCACATTCACACAGCCCAGGATAGCAGCACCATGCTCGCTTTTCCTCCAGTCATGTTCTCAGTGCCTCACCAGACTTCAGAATCCGTTTGGGAATCTGTACTCCCCAGGCAGCACTACGATAACCAGTTTGGAGGGACCTGCCTACCATCTGTCACTGCTTGAAGATGCTGTGAGCAAACTCTGAATCTTGGAGTCTTCTAGGAAATCCTCTGTGTTAGCATTCAAAGCCAAATTCAAACTTTTATTGACAGCAGGTTGGCACTAGAATTAAAATAACATGTGGGACAGTAAAGGAAAAGGTGTATGAACAGTTATGCTAACACTGTCCAAGTGCACAATTACAGACATGATACACCTTTCAAAATCCAGATGGATGTGGAGAAATAGTTTTGCTACCAAGCAATCACTGAGTAATAAAATAGCAGATGATCCAGCTCCTAGACATGAAATCATGTGCATTCAGACCTCAATTCAGACCTCATGTTACCTATTATTAAAATGTCTCCCTATTGAAGATAATCAGTGAGACCCCACTTACTATGGAAATTATATCCCAGGCACTGACACAGCTTTTTATTACCACTCTAATGCCATTCACTCAAATTGATTCATCATATACAGGTAGGTAAAACTATATCCTCTTTGTGTTGCTTAGCTGTGTTTAGTGTGGGAATCAGTATCACATTCCCCCCTCACTGCCGTACAGTGTTTCTATGCCTCTGGTGATTATCCTTGGCTCCCAGCACAAGGGCTATTAAACAGCTCAGTAGTGTCCCTAATTAGCAGAGGCAGCAAGTTAGCAAAGTAAAACCTCTCTATCACTTTGAGCATTTTTGCAATTATAAAAATTGTGAAGCTGGAATTTTCTGTATTCAGTGACTGTACCAATTGTCATCTACATATATGATTTTACAAAAGGTCTTTTATTTCTGTTCAGTTCAGCCCTTTGCAGCAAAGCTTTGTAATACCTCTGAAACAATTCAACAGTAGTTGTCAAACCTGTTTCAATTAAGACTTGAATGGTTCTGAATCCAAAGTGCATAAATATATTTCAAGTGCTTCAGAGATGCACGAATCACCGAATTGTGGGTGTACTGCTGAATAAAATGTCACATTCTGTACAGAACGGTTTTATAAAAATACCATTAACTTTCCATATTAAATACAATGAAACTTAGCAATATGGCAAGGGACTTCCTTGGATGGAGAGTTTATGTACTTTCCAGTTATATCAAATCAGAGGAAAAAATACTTGCTTATATAAATAGAAAATATTTAATCAGCAAATGGCAGGTCAGTGTTATTTTATATATAATATATGCAGTCTACTGCTCATTCAGAAAGCTTTCAAGATATGCCCGATGCATTACGCTTGTCCCTCACTGAATTGGACAAAATCTGCAGAGAGAAATACAGCAACTGTTCGATAGCATTACACACATTTTAGATAGACTCTAATGAGTCAGTTGCCAAAAGCAGAACATTTTTAAAAATTGGTGGGAGGCTATTTTCATACATTTCATCTGGGAAATGACCCCTGTGACCGCAGAATTTTTCTAGACAAGCCATAGGTTGCCAGCAGAATTCCCTGTCTGAGGTAAGGCGCACAAAAATGTGATCATGCAGTGTTTTATTGTATGTGGATTTGACAGCAAGAACACCTTTGTATTTTTAGCCAAAATTGGAACGTGCACTGGGGCTGCTAAATTTTACTTTCAGAATAAACAGTTGAGCTCCACGTCTACAGAAATCTCACTGAGTGATGCAATCCTGACAGGCCTCTCAGCATACTTTGTGCCATTAGGCTTTGCTGTAATAGGAACAAACGTGCTTATATGCCAATATTTTCAGGTGTTTTGAGTTGTTGGAAACAAGTTTTCTGAAAACTAGGAGTGACTTTAAAAAGAGTTTTCTCTGATTTAGTCTTTTGTTCACCAAAAATTCATTATTTGCAGATTTCTAGAGACAACTTTTTTTTTAATTTTTTATTTCATAGTTATGATAACTTTATTTATGCTATTTATTATATCGTTTGAAGAGGAACTCTTACGTATAAGCTTGCAGGAAGCAAATCAAGAGACACAGAGTTAAAACAGAGTTGTTACTTCTTGGAAAAAAAAAGTAGATAAATAAGGCTACCCCCACCATTACTACAATCTAAAAATATACAGCACTTTAGGGACAGCTGTTTCAAGCTGGTGTCATTTTAAGATAAGTTTTTGGTTTAAATCTTAAATAAGATTAGGTACAGTAGATCATTAATCATACAATATGTCATCGTGGTAACAAAAAATCATTAAAGCCAAAATTACATGTTGTGCCAACTTGGATTTTTGGTTTAGAGCGTTTACGAAGCAACAATCAATCTTTTTCTCCTCATCTGTTAAAGTAGTAAGTCATGCAGTTCATTGAACACTTACTAGGTGAAGTGAAAACTGCCTGTGATCTATCTGTGAATAGTCTGAGCTAGAGTGTCCTGTTGTACAATGTTTTACCCAAATACTAGAAGGTAATACAGTCAGAAACAAAGTGACAACAGAAGTATTTGCATAAGTCTTACAATGTGTAGAAACATTAAAGTTATCCATCTTGAGCTGAGTCAGCAGTTAAGTAGTTTTCTTTTGTAAGGAATATAATTATTCCTTATTTTGTAAGGTCTGGTGTCCATTTAGTTAGATGCTGTTCAGCTTCAAAAATATTTGCAACAGAATAAATGTAAAGTTCCATGTGGTACCGTCTTCCATGTGTTTTCCCTTTTGACCAAGCTACCAAATATATGAAATGTGCTTGGCCAAGACTTGATTTCCTGACAAAATGAAACCTCATATCCCATTAAATTTAGCACACAAGCTCTGTGTCCTTTTTATTTTCTCATCCATCTTTTGGAACTCTGTGCTTAAATATCGTTGCCATATTTTTCCTTACCATATCACCTTTATGTTCATGCATGGATAACAGGGCAGCAGCTGTTTTATGAAGCAGCTATATGATATAACGTTTTTCTGTCTTACTTAAACGCATCTGTTTGTTATTAGAAATTGAATTGAAAAGCTTGGGTAACTGGTAGTATACAATGGAGAAAATGGGTAGAGAAATAACATTGATTAGTCGTGTGTGCAATAACCACTACTTGTTTGATTTGCCAGTTGGTGTGAGTTACATTTCTTAATGTTATTTGCAGTCAGCAAGACTTTTGCAAGTTACATTTTTCATCTTTTCTATTCAAAAAATACTTTCAGTATTTGCCTATCAATATATGCCCAATCATAATTATTTTGATGGCTGTATAAATATTTGAAAATCTGATACTTGTATTAGGAATATTCTGTACACATGTTGTATTTATAAGGTGTGTACAATGAGGCATTAGACATACCCCATAATGTTTTGAATTTTCCCTCTTTAGATTAAAGCAATTCCAAATTACAGCAGCTAATGTTTACAGAGTCAGCACTGACTGGTGTTTAACTCTCAGTAATACTGAGGATGGAGTTTCCAGTTGCTTTTGTGAAAGTGAGTCTCTGAGTACCAAAATGTGTTGCTAGTTTTTCATCTGATCTGTATGTAACTTGTAGATTACTGGAGTGAGAGTGATAAGGAGGAAGCTGACACTCCGTCGACACCCAAACAAGACAGCCCACCACCCCCATACGACACATACCCACGGCCTCCTTCGGTAAGTCACCTGCAACTGTCTACAGGAATGACCACATAAAGTGTCACATTTACCTACCCTCCTGCTTAAAAGCATGTGCATGCACACATTAGGGCACTCTTCAGTATATTTTTTTGAGTGAGTACTTGACTTAAAGCATTTGTTAAGTAACATGCATCGCTAACTTCAACAGCCATCATTGCTATCTCCACTGGTGTGTAGAGAACACAGATTTATAATCCCAATTGCTGAACAGAATGGATTAAGTTACAGAATTCTTCCTTCCTGTTCTTCGTTCATGACGGACCCCTACTCATCCATGCAATCCCTCACCACCCCCTTACTGTCTTCTCTGACAAAATGTTGTCACTGAGGTAACAACACAGACCCTTCTCTAAAGCACGACAGTTGTGCTGTGAAGCTTTACAGTAATAAATTACACTTGAATTTCCACAGAAATGCCAACATAAAAATGTTCTCTCTTCTATCCCAAACAGTGATACCAGTTGTTCTGTTGTTATGAAAAAGTAGGTTTCTCTATAAATTAGAACAAAAGGGGATTTTTTTTTGTTTGTTTTCTTCTTCAAGCAGCTGTATAAAACCAGAGTATGGACTTCTAACTTCTTCTGCACTGGCAATTTTAATTTTCATGTCCGTATACTCAGACAATGTTAACTAATATATCTTACTTGAATATAGTTGTAAAAATGCAAAAATTTGGATTGAAAAATTGGGACAGTCTGGGCAAAGAGAGTGCTCATGATGTCTAATTTGAATGCAATGCTTTATGTCCCCAAATCATAGATCTTTGAGCTGCACTGAAGCACTGCAAAGATGATGCCAAAGAAATTTTTAGCAAGATAGGATGGCAACAGGCATTTGGATGGCATTTTTAAGATTTTTAATGGACCAGGCACGTCTCTTCTGTGTCTTCCGTAGTGCCATATTCTGCTAAAGTTTTCTGCAAATAATTGTGTTGGCTTATTTTATAGACTAGGGGACATAAAAGGATACTTATTATGACAAAGTATCAGTATTTGGCATGTCACAGGTGTGACGTGTAGATGTGTGCATGCCTTAAAGTTAGGATCAGGGCAGGTCAGTCAGGTAAGTTTGTGCCTTCATTACTAAAATGGGTGCCATCAGTGACAATGAAAAGTACGTAATTATTACTGGCAGCAGTTCTCAGTCCACACTGACCTGAAGATTGCTCCATTGCTGACGTTGCAGATGAGCTGCGCAAGCCCTTACGTGGAGCCAAAACACAGCCGACTCTCGTCCACGGAGACCTCCCAGTCGCAGTCATCGCACGAGGAGTTTCGCCCGGAGGCGGCGGGGGTTCGGCCGGGGGGGGGGGGGGAGCGCCACCGACTCGCCGGTGCGCAAGACGGCGAGCCAGCGGCGCTCCTGGCAGGACCTCATAGAGACGCCGCTGACGAGCTCAGGACTCCACTACCTGCAGACGCTGCCGCTGGAGGACTCTGTGTTCTCCGAGGCGGCCGTGGTCTCCCCCGAGCACCGGCGGCAGTCGACCTTGCCCACCCAGAAGTGCCACCTGCAAGACCACTACGGCCCCTTCCCCCTCGTGGAGGGGGAGCGGATGCAAGTGCTGAATGGGAATGGGGGAAAGCCCCGAAGTTTCACTCTGCCTCGGGATAGCGGCTTCAACCACTGCTGCCAGAGCCTTTCAGTCGGTGCTGCCGATCACCACGAAGAAGCGCAGCAGAAGGAGGTGGAGGAGGAGGAGGAGGAAGAGGAAGGCAAAGCAGCAGAAGAAAACCAGGAAGATAAAAGTAAGTATGGGATATTTCTGTGGCTTTTCAAGAGTCCTGTTTGTGTAACATAGAAGTTGTTTTTCCTTTTTCCTATCAAAAAACCCCAACAGCCTTTCAATATCCCCCATGCTGTACCAGGTCCCCCTTGTCACACACCTCTTTGATCTGCCTCACGTATAAGGCTTAATAATCAGACAGAGTGCTGCATGACCTCATGATCACCAGACACTTCCCCATAGGCTGGTCACCAGTCACCTCCGACTAGTAATTCTTAGTTATAAATGGATTTTACTTCCATGCTTTCTTCACACTTCCTCTTGCACAGTATCCTCCCCCACTGACACATGTATGTCTCAGGACATACTTAGTAAAATTTCCAGTCAACCCCATCTGGGTTGTAAAAAACCACTTGGTAAATCCTGGAGTGCAGGGTCAGGGTGTGATTGTGTACTATCCAGGTGGACAGGTCGCAAAGCAGCCCAGAAGCTGTAAGAAATTGAAAAAGAGCTTGTATTGTCCCCAGTTCCTCACCTTGTGATTTATAGAGAGAGAAATTCAAAAAACATTTCAAACAAAAAAATTAATAGAGAACAGCTATGTGACCAGCAGGGCTTAAAAAAAATCATAACGCTGAGTAACCGTCTCTTAGATGGCACATTAACTCCATAGGTATTAGTGCTACTTGTCAAAAATAATCCAAATAAACAGGGATTGGAGAAGGTCCCTGCTCCTCCTGAACATGTAAACACATTTCTGTGTCTGTTTCATGCTCTGTCCTTCACTGTCATTTATGGAGCTTCTCAGCGTGTGTTGCTAGCAAAGTTGAGTTCACACCCAAGTTGTAGGGTCAGTCAATGAAGCCTGCATCCGTGAATTGTGGTGTTATGCTGCAACTAAGTTACCTGTAATGGCAAGGAGGGCAGGATGATCCCTGAGGCTCTCAAAAGGTCTGTGCTGTCTGGTTCCTTCAAATTCATTTTTTTCACTCTGGTAAAGGAGTATAAAAATGGTAAAGAGATAGGAAAGGGTAATGAAAGCTTTGGATAATTACCTACCTAAATTAATTTATTAAGGTTAACACCTTTGTTGAGCATTAAAATTCATGTGGATGTTATTTAGTCTACTTGGGAGAGATCAACAATTTTCCATTGTCCTTATGCTTTAGTCAGTAGGTTCTAAACATCTCAAATTCTTGCCTTTGAGAAAATTTTTTTGCAGATATTAAATTTGATGCTATTAAAAGTTAAAAAAGGCACAATTTCAGTTGTGTTCATGCATGACAGTTTCAAAAAAACCCATACATTTGTTAGGGTAATATTAGACTCTTACTGACTGTGAAATGAAGCTGTCTTATTAACAGGGTTAAATTTCATCAGCCATGCAGAATGTTTTATCCTATTTTTAGCCTTCCGTTTTGGTTTTCAAATGGGTTTTTACTGATAGCAATAAAAAAAAAATTTTTAAAAGTCCTCACAGTCAACAAAAAAGGTCAAGGAGACTTCCCACTGGAGTTCCTGTGCTGTTTGGGCATTACTCAAAGATACTGTTGCAGGGCCTAAGTTGTTAGGTGTTTTAAAACTCAGTTTTGAGGCTTTTGGGTTCCTGGTTGTAACATTTTGTAGCGTACAATACTAATAAAGGGCTAGTGCTTGATTTAACAGGCCAGAACTTGGGCTCTTCTCCATCTTTCTATACCAATTTCCAAAAAGGGAGAAAAAAGTTTAATTTTTGAAGTGGTCTCCCTGTATACACATACTTTATTTTAGTTTGGGTGAGGAGGTTTTCTTGGTTGAAGCTTTAACAGGAAATTGTTTCTGAGACATTAATGACCAGCTAGACAAGTAAAGTGCTCATGGTGAATTATTGACCATGAAATTACAAAACCAGAAAGAAAATACTGTTTAGTCTGTTGAATAGTTTAAGTGTGGAATTGCTTGTTGCTATGGCTGCAATGTTCTGTTTGCAATGCTGGCTTTTTCCAGTGGCCTTACCAGTAAAAGGCAGGAGGGATTTCATGCAAGTCGTGTTCTTAAGTGCAAAATCCCAGTTTCTGAGCTGAGAGATTTGCTTATAACTGCTAAGTCCGCTAACAGGATCGGTGCCCTTGTGCGTGCTACATCATTGCCCCTCTCACCTCCATTGCTCTGGGAAAATGAAACATAGCAACTGGCTGGAGAAAGGGAGTCCTCTCCATTTTAGAAATGTTTTAACCTCACTTTGAACCTTCCCTGATGTGGTATCAGATGAACCTTTTAAGTGTATTTATTTGCCTTACACATTTGTGATCCTGACATAGTTCTGAGCTCTTGGACGATTATATGTGTTCTTGTGTGTACATGTATGTGTTTTAAAGCTTAATCATTCCTCTTGTTTTTTGGTGGGGCAAGGAATGCAGCTCCTTTGCAGTTGTTGCTGTACAAGTCAAATGTCATTGCCAAAAGTTTGTTTTCTCAGTTTTTTTTTGTATTTACGTTCCCACTTTTAAAACCTCCTGAGTTTAAATCAAATAGTAAAATGCAGTCCTTCTTCCAACTTCTTTTGCAGAATTGTTTTCAAATAACCACACCCCAAATTAGGAGCTCCATGCTTTTTTCAGATGCTGTCCTCAGCTGCTACAATATAACATAGTTCTGTTGACTTTCTACTAAAACTACCCTGATTTGCAACAACTAAGAATCTGCTCTATGTTAATCACTACTTTATGCCTGAAATAGATAGTGCAAGCTTTTACTAACACTGCGAATAGTTCTGTGTATCATCTCTGCTGTAATGCCTAGATATATCATGGTAAACTGAAAATATGGGTTGTCCTTTCCCGTGTTTATCCATTAGGATCTAGCTTTGTTGTGTGTTCAGTTGCTTCTTTCTGTCCTGTTATATCACATTAACATTGCACTGCTGATCTTTAATGGAATGTTTTATTTCCCTAATTAAAATGACTTTTGTGTAAATCATTTCGATGTTCCATATTAACACCATCCTGTAATGGTCTCTTGCTTTGTAATTGAAGAGGATTCTGTTGTGGGATATTTGTGTTTGTCCGTGTGTTTGCTCCTGAGGCTGTGAAAATGGCCTACTACGTTCAGACCTGTGGCACCAAACATCCCTCTTGCTGTGCTGTTCAGAGGCGGCCTGCACATGGAGAGCAGGTCAATGGCTATGGCACAGTGCGTTGCGTTTCTGTAATTCAGTTGTGAAGGACAAGTTGGGCCTTTGCAGGTTTGTCTTCTGCTAGTGGGAGGTAATGGAAGGAGACAGCTGTGCAGCACGGCACTGTCACCCCCTTCCCCTCCAGCTCCACCGCTGTCTGCGCTCTCTGTGTTTTGACAGATTTCACCACTTCATGCCAAAGAACACTTCTAGGATCTTCTTGGGGGACTATTTCCAGGTTTTGTCCCAGGAAAGCTTGCTTCATTTTTTGCTTTATTTTTTGAAAGTATTTTTGATGGTGGTTCCTTCATTTGCAAAGACTTCTTTGCTTTGTGGGAAAGCAACAGGAATGACTAGGGGTTCACCATTTAAAAGCAGCAGATACTAGCTCTCTACAGAGTGTAACTGGCTGTAGATCCTGCTGACATAGCCACAGAAAAACCTGCACCTTTTTTCCATACTCCCTAAAAAAGTCTTTGGAGAGCAGTAGCATCCGTGGGGGTCTCTGGTGCTGTCACCCGCCCAGACAGTGCTGGGGCAGGAGCTCTGTTGCTGGCTCCGTGTGCTGCGGGGCTGGCCAGAGCAGCACCGGCACACCTTCCAGGGAACTCGCACCTGGGACCTGCAACAGTGTGCAAAGGAGCTTTCCACTGTGCAGGCTCCGTAAGATTTCTTCAGTAATATGGACAGAAAAGCATTGCTGTCTGTGTTTGAGTTCAAAAAGGTATTTAGAGCAGGAGGAAATCACTTAGACTGTCTTCCCACTGTTCAACCCCATTTCCTTCTGCATCGTTCCTCACCTCTTCGTTCTCTTGCTTCTGCAAGTTTTCTGTCCTTCTCCTGTACTCTAAGTACTGTAATTCCTGCCAACGTGTTTTAGGACTTTTTTGTTGCTACTCCATTATCATAATTTTGGAGTATCTTCTATATCGGGTGGACAACTGTAACAAAGTCTTAAATAGATTTCAATAAATCAATGGCTGTCCTTTGGGGGCAATTGAAGGGTGGCAGCCATTTGTTTGCTGCATTGATTCCCCCCCCTCAGAGTGTTTACGAGATGCAGCAATCTTCCATGAGTGACTTGTGTCACTTTGAAAAAATTTTGCAATGTTTCTTAAGCCTGGGCACACTCACACGTATTCCCTGGCATTTTTCTCCATCACCGTAAGCCCTTTTTCAGGTTTGCAACATCTCCCAGTATCCTATGCTTAGTCCTACACAGTCTAGTGAGCGCTGTCCCAGAGGAACGCAATTGCCTCATGCTCCAGTCTCTGAAACTTGGCTTTTTACCTTAAACCACTGAAGACACTTGCCAAAGGTCGGAGCAGGAGATGGTGCTGGCATTTTGCAGCTCAGAGAGACGTCCAGACCCTGCAAAGGATTTCAGGAAAGCTCCCCTTGATGTCAGTGAGAGCTAGTCACTGAAAGAGATGTCAAATGTCTGCTTGTGCTGAGGTACCAAGCCTGAGACTTTTCTCTTTTTTTTCCCCAGTAAAAAAATTAGGAACCAGCAAGAGAATAATAAGTTTCTCCTACCCCACCTCACAGCCACAGAAATGAAACTCAAGGCGACAGTGCTTTTACAAAATAGGTCCGATGGGTTTAAGGAGTCCCATGACTAGCAACAAGTAGAGTTTCACACACTGTGCCCAAGAAGGTATATCCATGGGACATCCTAGGCAGCATTTGACTTCAAGGAGGAGTTTGCACTAGTGAAAAACATACCCTGAATAAGGTCGGGTATTTCAGATTCCGAAATACAGATACAGGGAGGCTTGCCTCTTTTTAATGAGAGGACTGTACTGTGCAGTGCAAATGGTATCTCTCAGAAAGATCAATGTTTGCTAATTAAATACTACCTTATGAAG